GTTTGCCACGTACACCTGTTATGGGTGCAAGCAAGCAAGACGAGGGAAGTACACACCAGACAGAGGGAGTATGAACGCCAATCATCAACTTGTGTTTTGACTCAAAGGCTTGGGTGTAAAAGCTGTGAGCTGCTTCGACTCAAAGGCTCGGGTGTAAAGGCTGCGAGCTGCTCTAGAATGGTGAAGTGGATCACTGAAGTGTGGTTCGTCACATACACCTGCCATGCACAGACTCAAGACAAGAAAGAGCATTGTAACTATTGAATGACTATGCTCGTCTACATCTTGCCAAGCCATAGCAAGGTGTATGTCTATTGAGTAGACTGAGGGATACGCCACACTCATGCCTATCTGGGAGTGACTTTTGAGAATTCTCAAAAGTCACTCCTATTGAGTAGACTGAGGGATATGCCACACTCATGCCTATCTGGTTGGCTCGGTGCACTGGGCTAGGCCCATGGTACTTGATGACGCCCATTCATAATCCGACACACCTCACCTACGGCCACACCCACACTCGCCGTGCGTCACACGAGAGCCCAGCCCACCTGGTTAGCCCGGCGCACTGGCCTCGGCCCATGGTACTTGATGACGATCGTCCATGATGCGAGTCACCCGGTGGGCAATCACCTATTGCCCCACATGCCATATCCCACTCATGCCATATGCCGCACATGCCATATCCCACTCATGCCATATGCCGCACATGCCATATCCCACTCATGCCATATGCCGCACATGCCATATCCCACTCATGCCATATGCTGCACATGCCATATCCCACTCATGCCATATGCCGCACATGCCATATCCCACTCATGCCATATCCCACTCATGCCATATGCTGCACATGCCATATGCCGCACATGCCATATCCCACTCATGCCATATGCCGCACATGCCATATCCCACTCATGCCATATGCCACTCGTGCCCACCTGGCTAGCCAGGCGCACTGGCCTAGGCCCATGGTACTTGATGACTCCCCTCCATGACGCCACGAACACCTACTGCCGCACCCACACATGCCGTGACTCACATCTCTCCCACCACACATGCCATGCCATGAGAATTGAGAACCCAGCCCACCTGGTTGGCCCGGCGCACTGGCCTCGGCCCATGGTACTTGATGACGCCCGTCCATGGGGTGAGCCAGGACCCACCTACTGCTGCCACACCCACACATGCCGCGAGTCACCTCCCTCCCACAACTCATGCCATGCCATGGGAACTTAGAAGCGCAGCCCACCTGGTTGGCCCTGCGCACGGGCCTCGGCCCATGGTACTTGATGACGCCCGTCCATGATGCGACGAACACCCCACACATGAACTCAACCAGCCCTCGCTGCGATGGGGGCGTGGGAAAGGGGAGCGGATGGGGATGCGGGGTTTGCGATGAGGATGGGAGGGAGGGGTGTTGAGGTGCCAAGAAGGCCGTGCCCGTGGTACTTGACGGCGCCCGTCCATGATGCGACGAACACCCCACACATAAACTCAACCAGCCCTCGCTGCGATGGGGGCGTGGGAAGGGGGAGCGGATGGGGATGCAGGGTTTGCGGATGAGGATGGGAGGGAGGGGTGCTGAGGTGCCAGGATGGTACTTAATTGGTGGCACCCGTCCACGATGCCACAAACACGCCACACATGAACTCCTCCATCCTCGCTGTGATGGGGATGAGGATGGGAGGAGGGTGAGAATGGGTGCAAGAGTAACAGGAAAGAAAAGAACGGAAAGAAAGAAAGAAAATAAGAAAACACACACACACACACACACACACACTCACACACACACTCACACACACAAAAAAGCATGCAGATAGCATTACCTCTAGGCTGCGGTGAAGCTTGTCGTATGCGGCAGAGATGAAGTGGATGCGGATGAAGAGACAATGCATTGTGTGCCGCTGGTTAAGGGTGACGATGACCCTGCCTAGAAAGAAACAACCTCGCCTTCCACTGATGTTACCTCTAGGCTGCGACGCAGCTTGTCGTATGCAGCAAAGATGAAGTGGATGGGGATGAAGAGCGAGAGGAAGATGACCCAGCCCAGCAGCAGCAACACCAGCCTGGCGTGTGGATGGGGGGAGGAACGGGACAGCATGGGAGGGGGTGAGGGTGAGACGAAGTGGATGGAGAGAGAACGAAGTAAGATGACCCACCCCCCAGCAGCAGCAGCACCAGCCTGGCGTGCAAATGGGGGGAGGAAAGGGACATGCATGGGAGGCGCGAGGGTGAGGTGAAATGAATGGGGACGAAGAGGGTGGAGAAATCACCCACCCCAGCACGTGTAATGAGGTTATTTGTGAGACGAAGGGTTTTGAGACGTCTCAAAACCCTTCTTCAAGCACGTGTAATGAGATTATTTGTGAGACGTCTCAAAGATAGCCTCATTACGAATGAGGACGAAGAGGGTGGAGAGATCACCCACGCCGGCAGCAGCAGCAGCAGCACCAGCCTGGCGTGCGGAAGGGGAGATGTGTGTGAAGGATCTGTTGAGAATTCTCAAAAAACAGATTCGGGATGATAGCGATACGTCAAAGGTAAAAGTTGGGTTTTGAGATGTCTCAAAACCCAACTTTTATCACGCGGATGATAAGCGTATGCCAAAGCACGAGAGGGGGAAGAGCATGAGACGGGTCCAACAGCAGGCGAGAGCAGAGAGGCACATGGCTGTGTATCTAATAGGAAGCATTGCGAGCTCACTGGAAGGGTGCTCACCGGATGGGGAAGAGGATGGCATAGCGGAAGAGCACACCGAAGCACCAGAGGGGGAAGAGGTAGAGGTTCCAGTTCCATGGCTCAGGCTCGTTTGACTTGAAACAGCGCCAAAAGGAATCCTGTGGGACCGGTAGGAAGAAGACAGAGGAAAAGGAGGGAGGGAGAAGGGAGGGGAGCGAGGAAAGGGAGGAAGAGGTAGAGGTTCCAGTTCCATGGCTCAGGCTCGTTGGACTTGAAGCAACGCCAAGAGGAGTCCTATGCCGTTGGTTGGCATGGTGGAAAGCAGAGAGACGGGATGGAGGGAAGGGGAGGGGAGGGGAGATGCGGGTGTGTGAGTGCGTGGCCTCTAAAGTGCGTGAGTGCGTGGAAGTAGAGATTCAAACAGACGGCTTGTTGCCGGTTTTGTACATCCGCATGGCACTCGACTTGCTGCCTGCAATAGCAGAGCAAACAGACGGCTTGCGCGAGTGCGGGTGGTGTGAAGTGAGTGCGTGAGTGCGTGGAAGTAGAGATTCAACCAAACGGCTTGTTGCCGGTTTTTTTACATCCGCATGGCACTCGACTTGCTGCCTGCAATAGCAGAATCACCTGGTACTGTTTCTCTCTCGCACTCACATCGACTATGGCCCCTGCTGCTTCGTTCAGAGGTGCTGAGATGTCCAGAATCTCGTTCCTGAAGACAAGCACAGGCGGACCAGAAGGGTAATAAGAGCAACAGGCACAACACGTGTGTCTTTTGAGAGAAAAGCTTTGTGGCTCACAACTTAGTTTGCTGCAGCGGTGGCAGGAGGGGCAGTGCGAGGCGGTGGTTTCCACCAGGTCTGGCGTGGTGTGGAGTGGTGTGGCGTGGTTCTAACTTCTAAGTCGGCTCAAAACACACGCAGGGAGCGAGAGAAGGGGAGGGGCATCGCAGCAGCTTGCTGCAGCGGTTGACGGAGGGTCAGAGCGAGGCGGTGGTTTCCACCAGGTGTGGTGTGGTGTGGTGTGGTCTGCTTTGAAGGCTGGCTCAAAGCAGAAGCGAACGAGAAGGGGGGAAGCGTCACTCACAGCAGCAGTTTGCTGGAGCGGTGCGCGGAGGGGCATGGCGAGGCGGTGGTTTCCACCAGCAGGTCCTCCACGTCACGTTGGTACCTCGGGAGCTCCGCCGCTGTTGGGCCGAACAGAGGGCTCTCGCTGCCCTTCCTGGTGTTGGGGGAAGGGTGAGGGGAAGAGAATAGGAATTCTTTGTACTGGTGGTGGTTTCCAGCAGGTCCTCCGCGTCGCGCTGATACCTCGGGAGCTCCGCCGCTGTTGGGCCGAACAGAGGACTCTCACTGCCCTTCCTGATGGGGGAAGGGGTGGATCAAAAGGGTGGGGGACGAGGACGAAAGGAGTTGCTCGGGTGATGGGAGGTGGTTTCCACCAGCAGGTCCTCCGCGTCGCGCTGATACCGAGGGAGCTCCGCTGCTGTTGGGCCGAACAGAGGGCTCTCGCTGCCCTTTCTGGTGTGAGGAAGGGTGGGGGAAGGGGGTGGAGCCTGGAGGTGAGAGGGAGAGAGGAACCAACAGTCGCTTGCCAACAGTTGTTCGCAATCAGTTGCAATCGTCAGGCACAAGAAGCAATATACGTAAGTAATAAATCGCGTACCATCTTTGCTGCGTAGCGTCTCGATAAAGGGCCATCTGATATCTAAAATAGCAGTGCTTTAAGGATCTAGGATTCCGGTCGACGAGCGATGCCTGTTGCAATTCAGTTTCCGACTTCGCGTCGAAGAAAAGAAGCTTCTAAGTGACAGCAAAAGTTGGAACAGAGATTAAGGCTAGAAATCCCAGGCAGTGCCTGCCTAATCGGTGACCAATACTGGCACGGATTACACACGGCTTAGCCAATCAGACGGCGGTTTGAGTACCAGGAGAGGAGATCGTCCTAGTAGGCTTGAGTGTCAAGCCGTCGAGAAAAATCCGCTTGCTAAAGACCAGGAGCCCTAACGACAGCCATGAGACTAGGCGAGCTGCAGCTACTAGAGACCAGGAGCCCTAACGAATTGGGATGCTCAACAGCCTCAAAGCATGATCTGTTTGGCTTCACAGGAAAGAAACGACTCCCGACCTAAAACATCAACTAATCGTTGCTGGACGTCGATATTCAGGAGGACGATATAGATTCTAGAATCTAGACTCCTCGCCCTCTCGAGGAACTGTCAAATTGGCGAAATCGAGGGAATACCAGCCAATCAGCCTACCCTCGTGAAAGTGACTTGCGACGAGCAACTCAATGTATCAGCCAGTATTCAGCTAATTGAAATGTTGGTCGGGGTGTGAAAAGGTTCCTTCTCCAACCCTTGGAGAATGAATTGCAGAAAGCACTTTGTTGCGCAATATTGTGTGTTGATGAAAAATACACTGCCATCTCGTACATAAGTGCATTACTTAGGAAATCACTCCACCCTCCTTGTGCAGTCTGGTTCACAAATTCTACCCTAGACCAAAAAGCTCAACACGTGATGAACGCATCTAACGGTACCTAGGAAAAACTAAAGCAGCTTAGTATTCTGTCCCGATCTCCAACTCCCACATTATCTTCTCCCCGCCTCTCCCCCACCCGCCACCTCGCTCCCACCTTGCGCTTCATTTTCAGTGTTTCGTTCCATTTCTGACCGACACTGCCATACCTCTACACAAGTGACGAAATGAGGGCTCACAGGGAAGCGATCTCGGCGGCATCGCGTGTCGCGTCCTCTCTGGTTCGTAGCCACGTCAGCATCCGCTTGCTCACACCTTCGCACCGTCGCACCGATTGGACTTCTCCTCCCTCCCGCAACTCCCGCTAGTACTCCCCCGCCCCCCGTTCCTCCCGCGTCTCCCTCAACCCTCGCAGGCGCGGTTCGCGGTTCAGCCCTCCCCCGATGCTGTCGCTGCCACCGCCGCATGTGTGCGGCAATCCGCGCAAAGCGCCGCCTCCCCCGCCTCCGCGTCCGCCTTCCGCCTCTCGTTCGCGCGCGGTGTGCGCACTCGCCCGAAACTGCGCGTCGTACTGACAGCAGTAAGTTCTGCTCAGAGCGGTAAGATTGAAACACGTTGAGTTCTCAACGTCTTCCCAGGGCGGTGAGATGGAGATTCGTTGCGTCCTCAAAGCCTTCACAGGGTGGTAAGATCGGCACAAGGTTGGCCTCCCCGTGTTTCCCCACCACCGTTCATCCCCCTTCCTCTGTTCCCCCTTCCGCGTTTTCCCCCCTGCACATCAGGGGGTGGAAGGACTGGGATATGCGGGGGACGTGGTGAACGTGCCAGCTGGCTTCACGCGCAGCAAGCTCATCCCCCGGAAGGCCGTCCTCCCACCATCCCCCAAACCCAGTAACCCCCCTCCACCATTCCCCTGCCGCGTACCTTTCTCAGGAGGTGGAAGGGCTTGGATACGCGGGCGATCAAGTGAACGTGCCAGCTGGCTTCGCGCGCAACAAGCTCATTCCCCAGAAGGCCGCCCTGCCCGCCATCCCCAAGTTCCTGCGCCAGGTGCGCCTGGCCATGGAGGCGCAGGGGGGGGCGGGGGGACAGGCGCAGGGGGGGGCGCGGGGGGAGGCGCAGGTGGAGGCGCGAGGGGAGGCGCGGGGGGAGGCGGGGGTGAAAGCGGAGGGGGATGGGGGGAGAGGGGGCGAGGAGGGGAGTGAGGTGGTTACGATGGAAGAGAGGGTGAAGCAGGCGGAGGAGATTGCAAGACGACTCGACAGCCAACGACTGGTCAGTTAACCCTCCCCCACTCCGCTCCTGTCCGCTCTCTTCTTTCTCTCCTCTCCTTCTCTCGTCTCTTCTCGCTTCCCACTGTCTCCTTTGTCTCCTCTCTCTTCCCTCTGATGGTCAGCAGTGAACGTTTTTCATAACCATCTTCGTATCAGCCAACTTATCTCTCTGTTTACTTTCACCCTTGCGTTGCAGCTCTCATTCCCTTGCCCATCATTCTCTCATCTAGGATCCTCTCACCTTCCATTCTCCCGCCTCCCTTTCTGTCCCCTCACACTGTCTTTCCTCTCGCTCTCTCCCCTCTCACTCCCTTCCCTTTCACTCCCTTCCCTCTCACTCGCTTCCCCAACCTCCCCTCGCAGTCGATCCGAGCCGTCACACCCAAGAGATCCTCCGAGCTGCGGCAACCAATCACGCAGCGCCACATCATCAGCGAGGTGCTGCGTCAGTTCGGCATCCAGCTATCCGAAGCAAACGTGCCTCTGCCCGCGCCTCTCTCGTCCATCGGGGATTTCGAAGTGCCGCTGAGGTTCCCGCGCTCTGTTCCACTGCCGGGGGAGAGAGAGCAGGTTCAGCTCGATGTGCGTGTGAGGAGATGTTGATTGGTTGATGGCGGGTTTCAGGAGACGGGGTGACTGACCGCGTGGATGTACGGACTAGGGCAACTGAATCGAGAGCAGGTTCAGCTGCACGTGCATGTGAGGAGAGGTTTATTGGTTGACAGCAAGCGTCAGGAGAAGGGGATAAGGGGGGTTCCCTCACTCTGTTCCGCTGCCCGGGGGGGGGAGAGAGCAGGTTCAGCTGGACGTGCGTGTCGGGAGATGTTGATTGGTTGACAGCAGATGTCAGGAGAAGGGGATAAGGGGGTTCCCTCGGCCTGTTCCACTGACGGGGGAGAGAGAGCAGGTTCAGCTGGACTGGTTGATGGCAGATGTCAGGTTAGGGGAGCAACTGTAGTTTTGAGGCGCCTGAAAACTAGATGCCAGGAGAAGGGGATAAGGGGGTTCCCTTGCCCTGTTCTGGGGGAGAGAGAGCAGGTTCAGCTGGACTGGTTGATGGCAGATGTCAGGTTAGGGGAGCAACTGTTCCGAAGTGTTTCTCATGTGGTTTCAGTATTGTCCTCACAGTAGGCATAAAGGAGTGAAAGAGATCGATGCTATATTAAATTGATATAACATCATCTATAGCATTTTCTGACATGGTAGCGTACTAAGCTAGCTGCCTAGATTGGCACAAAGATTGTACTGCCTGCTTTGGGTGGCAGTCAAACCAGATTCGAGCAGGCGTATTGAGATGAGGGAAGGCCTTGACAGAAACACTGCGGTATCAGTCAGAGAGATGATGGCCTCACACAGAGTGGCATGTACCATGTCGTTTCCGCCATCTCCAGTTGACTATGGTACTCAAAATCTTCTGAAAGCGTCGAATCCTAGGTACTTCTCTGCTTGTTTAACACTTCTATCCCCGTTTACTCCACCCCTCCATCCACGTGGAAGCCTTTTAGTGGTCGCCAGTCCAGCAATTTCAGCACCTGAATCTCCATCCCCACCAGCGAATCCGCCGTGATTCTCGCTACAGCCGCGAGTTGGCTTGCTCGCGGCACCGCGTCTTGGCTCTCCTGCCCCTTAATCGCCACCCACAGACACGTGGCAAGCACCACCCGGAGCGCGTCCGCTGCCACGTCAGTCGGCCGAAGCTTCCGCAAGATTCGCTGGAGCATGTGGAAGGCCAACGCTTCCGCGCTGCTAGAAGCGAGATGGAGCCGCGTGCACCATGAATGAAGCACCCGTTTCAGTCGAGCTGCAGCAGTTTGGCCGAGAGCGGGGCCGTCTGACGTGGGCGCTGGTTGCAGCTGACGTAACTGCGACGTCTGCTGCTGCTGCTGCAATTCAGGCAGCGACCTTTTACGGTCGACTCGCAGAGATGTTGCGTAAGTATCAGCCCCTGCTGTAGCTGCCCCGTGTACGTTCACATTCGCGGCTTCAGCGGCTTCGCCGCGCGTAACCCAACACTCAGATTTGTTATCCGTCCGTCTACGTTTAAGTGACGGTTCTTGGGCCGCGTCAGCCGCACGTGGCGCCTCTGACGTTCCGTTTCCTCGAAGCCCCGCGACTTCTGGGATCTGTGGAAAGAGCTGCAGAACCGTTGCACCTTCCTGTTTCAACGGCTCAGATTGAGTTTCCGGCTGATGCTGTGGATGCGGACGGCTCTGATGCTGCTGACTGGCGATATGGTTCACGGGCTGATGGAGAATGGTTGACCGCTGCAGCTGCGAAAGTTGCTCGCGAAACACCGACTGCATGTCGTGACTGTTACCACTGGCAACACCCAGAGGTTCGCACCACTCCGTGGTCACTCCACTCGCGGGGGACGCGCCGTCAGGCCCGCCGCTGTCCCCGCTGCAGTGTGATCCGATACGATGCATCCCGAGACCAAGATGGCTATTGTATTCGAGAGAATCCCGAGCGACTACACTCCATCCTCGACCACCGTCGACCAGCTCGGCAGGACAGAATCCAGCATGGCAAACGTCGAGGAAACGCGCACCCGCCACGTGGCTAAGCGACACGTCAGCTGCTGCAGATCCCACCGTCACGTGGGTTGGGAGACCAGCAACGGCAAACCCCGAGGAACGACAGCCATGGCATAAAACTAAGGGGAGCGTGAGAGCGGTAGGAAATCCGAGGAACTGCACATGCGTGGGTTGGTTGCAGGAGCAGCAGAGAAGCGCGCGCGGGTGTTTCATGACGAGAGCGTTCGCCACGTGGACTGCTTGGTCGCACGCGACGCACAGATTTGCGCCGTCTGCGGCGCAATGCACGGCGGCGGGGGAGGGGCAGAGGGCGCAAGGGGTTGAAGTGAAGAGGAGCGGTAGCGGCGGCATCGCGTGCGACTGGGGAGGGTAATCTGAGAGAACCTGAGCTGTGAACCACTGCGCACTATGTACATCCATGGCTTAGCTTGCTATGTCAGCTGTTTAGAGTCGCGTGGTTGATTCACAAACTAGTAAGTGAGAGCGAAACGGGTCGAGAGGAAGACCACATGGGTTAGTACTCTCGATAAAGACTTCCTGGAAATGTAAGGTAGGTGACGATAGAAGGCGTCTACGTCGACGAGGCGTGAAGGTCCTTGTGAAACAATAAGGTAGGTAATCTACTAAACTGAATCTGCTCAGGAAAGACGACTCGTCCGAGAATTGACTTGTGGTGGCAAGTGTCATGCATCGACGACCACAGAGCAACAACCTGTATGGAGAAACTGTTCATTACGGTTCGTGGATTCGAAGTTCTAAGCGCACTACTAGAAGCATTACCTGCTGTCAATATCTACCACGACTTCCTTGATGGGCAGGCATTCTGCGGCTCGATTGATTTCTTGGCTGCTCCACCGTTTGGAGCCTCTGTCGTGTCATGAAAAAAACGTGGTGTAAAATGACCCGTCTACGCGAATTACTGCGAGAAAGTGGTTTCTGTTCGAAGGTGGGGCAAGAAATGTCTCTGGTTTAGAAATTAGAAGTTAGAACCCCAAGATACGTGCAAACGCTGCTCGGCTCGAGGGTCGCGCCGCAGGAATGTTCTTTCCCGCTTGTGGTTTCTGTTGCTCCTTGAACAAGCTGATTGCGTCCTGCTCGATCAGGCGCGCACCAAGTGAAGCCCGACACGTGTAATGCAATCATCAGGCAAGTGATCGTGGTCGGGCGACCGGTGGGCGGAGCAGGACGAACAAATGGCGGCAAATGGATGCGGGATACGAGTTGACGGGTGGTTGGCAGCTTCAGGAAGGCTGACCGAGAAACCTGGGAGCCGCGTCCGACGAGAGATGTTCTCGTCAGAATCAAGCGTGTGGTATGGATAGTGTGTGTGGTTGGTGCTGCTCCGAACTCTTTGTTTGCGGAGAACACGTCTCCAAGTGTAAATGTACACGTGTAAGACTTGCAAATGGAAGCATTGCTATCCATCCTGTGGTTACCCATTATCCAAGCCCAGCGATGTCGCAACAATCGACGGCATACAGCAAGTTTGAACAAGCCGTAGATCAGGTGTTGTGATTTTCCCTGACCCCCCTGACCCAGGATGCCCCGCCACCATTCATTCGTCCAGCGTAGATTTCTTTTTTGGCCCCATCTTGTTTGGATTTCCCTCAGCCGCATCTTGCGCGCCTCGGCTGCTTTGAGAAGAATCAGTCCACGCGGCGCCATTACTACCCTGACCCGACCACCCTGCTTTCTGTCCCTTCGACCGTGCCGTGAATCGTGGAACGAATGCAATGCTGGCTTTCACTTGCTTGGGAGCATGCCGACACCTCATCAGTGGCCCCCGAACGGTGGCAGGTGACGTGGCTGGGGAAATTGAGGTGACGTCACCTCTGCTTGTGGTTGAGATGACGAAACCTGATATGTGCAACTTGTCGCTAAAGCAAGCTGCGGTTAAAAATTTGGCGCAGGAGGCGTTCATCCCCGTATAACAAACCATCAACTGCATATCGCTATAAGCTAATTATAAGCTAATTATTCCCTGCCCCATAAGCTTCATTGGCCAAAATTCCGTGTCATATTACATATCCGGCGAGGTGATTGTATATATATATATATACATATATATACATATATATGTGTACACATCCTGCCCATTTCTTCCTCTTCTCCAAAGATAGCGTTTCTGGGCCCCCCAACCTGAAATGAACAAGCGGCTTAATTGGTTAAAAGGCTGTTTGAGTGAGAAAACCTGATAGCCCTGAATGGCACTGCCCAACTGCACTGCTCTCGGCCATGAATTATGTTTTAGAGTGTCATCGCACGGTGCTTGCCCAAATCATGTACTCGGCACATGTACTCATCACATTTATTCTTCGTATACAATTAACAACACAGTCTTGCTTGCATGGAAATCCCCTGTTAGGGAACTGTCAGCCCCGGCGCACATGTTTTACGAAATAAACTTACTGTAGGCTTCTAGTTTAGATATGGTACGTATTGCGTTTCCACACTAAACATCTTCCATGATCTTCTTCATTTGCTCTAGAGTCACAAATAGGATGAGCGAGAAGGGGCCTTGCCTGACAATGGTTGGAATAAGGCCCTGAAAGAGATAGCACATTCAAGCAGTTCAGAGGGCGAAGGGGGCACAAGCAGCAGGGAATGAGGGCAGACTACAACATTAAAGCCCCAGCAATCTCAAAAGGCACCCGCCCTGAATCACATGCAATCAGGAATGGCACCATCATCCATCCCTGGAAGGGCATCCCAGCAATGACATGGTATCAGCAGCGCAGCTTGCACCGAAAACCAAACATAAACACTGCGCGTGGCCCTTCCACCTTGATGGTTTGCATCGCGCGATCCAAGGGGCCCGAGTGCGGTACCGCCTCGCTGTCTTCCGGCTTGCAGCACTGTACTCGTGCCTTCAATTCCCGCTATTGCACCACCATCAACAGCGCACCCTATGTAATGCGAGTGGCCCTTTTATTTATTAGTCTTGATGGCGCAATCCACGGGGCTCGAGTGCCGGCCCGCCTCCCTCTGGCTTGCGCATGTTCACGAGGCGAGTCCTCACCACGTCAAAGGGGCTCTTGAGGCGAGCTTTGCACCACCCACACACCTTGCATCAGGAACCCACCTTATACAATGCGAGCGGCCCTTCCAGCTAGATTGTCTTCATGGCACAATCCAGAGGGTTCGAGTAAGGTGCCGGCTCGCCTCCCTCTGGCTTGCGCATGTTCATGAGGCGCGTCTTCACCACGTCAAAGTGGTTTGAGGCGAGCGATGCACCAGCCACACAACAGCCGCACAACAACCCACCTTATACAGTGCAAGCGGCCCCTCGAGTTTGATTGTCTTCATAGCGCAGTCAAGCGGGCTTGAGTAAGGTGCCGGCCCGCCTCCCTCCGGCTTGCGCATGTTCATGAGGCGCGTCTTCACCACGTCAAAGGGGTTTGAGGCGAGGGAAGCGAAGATGGCGGCTGTGAATGCCGCAACTGTGTGCGCGCCCAGGCCCTCTTTCATGTAGCCTCCCGCTATCAGGCTCTCCTTGGCTTGATCGTACGTTGCAAGCTGGAGAGACGGAGGGGAGGGGCAGAGGGACGAGATGTAGAGATGGCTGCTGTGAATGCTGCCACGGTGTGTGCACCAAGGCCCTCTTTCATGTAACCGCCCGCGATAAGGCTCTCCTTGGCTTGATCGTACGTTGCAAGCTGATGAGGGTGGAAAGGAGGGAGAGTGTGACTTTGGACTGGAGAAACAAGAATGAAGGAAGACAGAGCAGGTGCGAAATGGAGCCCTTGAGTGAACAAGAGACAAGAGTCAACGGGAGTCAACGCACCTGGCCAGCAGTGACAGCCATGGCGCGGTACACGGTGGGTCCACACCCCCGCCACAGCGCTGCAGCGCCCTCCTCCCGGCGGATGCGCGCAATGGCGTCCAGCGCTCCCTTGTAGTTGCGCCTCTGCTCTAATGGCAGTCGGCCGTCCGCCTGGAGGTAGAACGGAAGAGAGAGGAAGAGGGAAGAGGAAGCATCGTGGGATTGTGACACTCCTGCAGCTCTCGGCGGATGCGCGCAATGACGTCCTGCGCGCCCTCTGCTCCAGGGGTACTCGCCCGTCCGCCTGGGGGAAGACGAGGGAGCGGCGAGCGGAGGGAGGAAAGCAAGGGGCAAGGGGAGGGAGTGGAGGAGGGAGGAGGGGAAGATGGCTTGGCGTCCACTGCGTTGCTGTAGTTGCGCTGCTATGCTAGCGGCGATCGCCCATCTGATTGCATATGGGCCGTTGAGGGGCAGGCGAGGAAGGTGCCACTTGAATGACTTTTGTATCGTCTCGAAAGGAGAGAATGGAGGGGAGATGAGGGAACATGACGTGGTGCAGAGTCATGATGTAACTTGGGGCAGGTGAGTGGCATGTGCGGATGGAGCCTCCTAGGCTTACGACAAAGATCATTTCCCCAAGACAAGGGCCACGTCAGCACACACGCGCGCACCTGCATGCGGACCATGGCCATGTCAGCGGGGTTCCCCACGGCCGCGCCAATGGCGCCCGACACGAGCCCCGCGCCGACCTTCTTGTACATGGGCAGCCCACCCGGCGCCATGTATCGTCATGCACCATTCCTAACCCCTCTTCACCCACGCACCTGCATGCGAACCATGGCCATGTCAGCGGGGTTGCCAACAGCCGCGCCAATGGCGCCCGACACGAGCCCCGCGCCGACCTTCTTGTACATGGGCAGCCCGCCCGGCGCCATGTGCGGCTGCTCCTCCATCTTGTGCTTCAAAATGTCGTAGATCCCCATGCGCGTCGCGCTGTAGAGAATCTGAAGAGCCAGGGGGGGGGGGGGGAGGCAGGGGATCCGAGGAGAGCGGAGAGAGGGCGAGATAAGGACGGATTACAGCCCGCGAGACATGTATGTGCGGCTTTTCTTTCATCTTCTGCTTTGAGACGTCGTAGATCCCCATGCGCGTCGCGCTGTACAGAATCTGAAGAGGGACGCGCGAATATGGTCAGCGGCGTGGAGCACAACGTTACATCCCCATTCTTTATCTTGTGATTTTCCAACCTCTTTCAAGCCGGCCTGCCCACCTGTCGCATCATGGTCGCAGAGACGCCGGTGAAGAGCCCCTTGACGCCGTTCTCCCGCACCACCTCCGCCGCCACCCGCAGCGCCCCGCCCGGCGCCCCCGTTGCCCCCGCCGCCGCTTTTGCGGACCCTTCGCCTAAAAGCTGAAAGAAAGGCATTAACGAGTGGGGGAATGGAAGATCTTAGGGGTGGATGCGAAGCAGGGAGGAGGGAGGAGGGAGGAGGGAGGTAGGGCATGCAATCGCTGATATGCAACCATGGGTACGACCGACCTCCATGCTGGAGCGATGGACCTTGCATGAGTGCGACGCACCTGCATGCGAACTTTAAGGAGGTCCAGCGGATGCGTGGCGACGCCGGCGACCATGGACGCGACGCCGCCCTCCACGAAACCCTTCCACGCCGCGTTCTCGTGGTGCGGCGCCGGCGGGTGGTGCAGCTCGGGCCGCGTCTCGTGAACCATGGTGAATGCGCCTGCTGTGCTGGTCGCTGGCCTTCAAAGCAAAAAATTCAGACTGCTGCCTAGCTTGCTTCTGCTTCTGCCGGCTGGTCACGGTTTGTAATAACTCAAGCGCGGACTTCGTTTCACTTCAACTTCGTCTGTCCCAAACAGGCGATAATCTAAGATTTGCAATGCGAGCGGCGTAGCGTTTTGTCGAAGTTGCTCAGGTGCGAATGAGGAAACAACAATGTATTGCCGTAAATAACAACCGTTTCCAGAAGTCTCTCAAAGGGGTTCGAGGAACAGCAGTGTAAGAAGTGGCCGGCAAAGAGGCGAAAGACGAGGAAGCACTTGCGGACGTCTCTGCGTCGTGAGCTGTGACTCACTGAGACGTAAGTGGGAGATTTCAGAAACGGAGCGACTACGCGACGAAGCAATGGAGCTGAGTGAAGCCATGGAGGATTTGAGTATACATACCAGTTATGCTAACAGTATCACTGTGACATAATAACTGCAGAAGAAATCGCACAAGCAGGGGTAGAGCCGAACAGGCACCTACCTACACCTACTCAGCCACGGCTTTGCGTGCTGAGGTGCAATGTTAGGACTGGTCGATCACTGAACGGGGGCGAAACCTGATCGACCTGATTGGATGGAATGAAAGACTTTCGCAGACTGCAGCCTGTCAGGGCCAGTCACCCAGGTTCAACGGGATCTTTTTGACTGGCTGGCAGCACACGTGGAAATACTTGTGGTGAATGGTGCCCAGGATGCTGACCGACGTTCCACGAACCGCAGAAGGCGTTGGAGATCCGGGATTCTGGGGAGCTTTTAACAGATCGAATGGGGTGCTCTACGTTCCACTAACAACATGACAGTAGCTTTCGCCTGATAATTTTGAAGAGTAGGGCATAGGGTACAGTTTTGCAACCATAGACACTCATACATAAAAGCTAACGATTATGCATCCCATGAGAAGCTAGAACAGCCGAGTAGCTAACCACGGCGCATAAACGTGGCCAAATGATCATCATCACCCTCATCCCCGTCCCCTGACAGCCTCACTCCCTCAATCTTTTGCCGAAGAACCTCTATGGCATCCAAAATCATTCTCTCTACAGATAAAGCTCCGCTCGACTCAACCGTGAAAATGAAGCTGTCCTGACGTGGCCGAATCTCCACAAGACCGGGTCGGCCCAACTCCTCTGCTTTGACAATTACCTCATCATCATACGCATACAGCTCCGCATTCTCGACATAAACCTGAAACATGATCACCAACAGGAAGAGCCACGACAGCCATGGCCCAAGTTAAACAATGACACGCTTTCCACACATCTGGTAGGCTGGAAAAAGGGGACTGTAACAACCTCTTGCCAAAACGACTTGTAAGACGTGTTGCTACCAGGTACATGTGTATGCCGCACCGAGCACATCTGTATGCCGCACCAAAACCTCACCTGTCCATGTTCATCGATACCGAACACTTGCGTGGGGCAGGAGTCCACCCACTCGCGCCTCTCGTCCAGGGTCATGCCATCCATGAGCGTGTGGTTGATGGTGATCTCTGGCTCGTACATGAACGTCACTGGCGACGCCGGCGACCACTTGGCGTGATCCTTCCCCAGGCCCTTGCGCGCGATCGCACGCAGGCGGATCTCCTGGCCTTTCCTCAGCTTTAGAATCACAATTCCCCTGAGGGGGAGGGGAAAGGGAGGGGTGGGGTTGGGGAAGAGGTAATGACAGGAAAAGGGAGGATCCGGAAAGGTTTGTGGGGGCAAGGGGGGTGGGGGTGGGGGAAGAGAACACAGGCGGACCTCCTGGCCATTCCTTGGCTTTAAAATCACGATTCCTCTTAAGTGAATGGAAGGAGATGGGAGGGCGGAGGGGATTAGGCACTTCCAGGAAATTGGGGTGGGGGGCAAGGGATTGTGTGGGGGGGAGTTGGAGAGAAGAGGAGACCATTGGGCGTTCAGAAGGCCATGGCATGACGCTTGTGCCTGTAAACGGCTGACGGCACAAGGAAGTTGTGCCAATTTGGGCAAATGCAGCCTGGAATAGAATCGAAGAAAATCTTACACACATCAATGAGCAACAGAAAAGGAGGGAGAGAGGGAGGGAGTGGGGGAGGGGGGGGGGTGGGGTGGAGGTGGTGGCTCAATTAATAAGCAGTGTGCTAGGCTAAATCCCGCCTTTACCCTTAGTCATTCTTCCCCCTACTTACATCCACTCCTGCCTCGACCTGGTTACTTACTTCTCCTCGCCGTCCTCCCCTTCAATTCGTCTCGTGCAATCAACAGGAAGGACAGCGTCGTCACTGTCATCACTCGATGATGGAATCAAATCATGAGTTGTAACGTCCAGCGTTTCATCTCCCGTACACTTGACGTTGAGAGTGAACTCCACGGCACAGTACTCGCACGGGCCGTCGCCGTCGCACGCGTCGCAGTCGCGAGAGAACTTCATGGACATCGCACGGTCGCTGACCAATGGGATGAGGCCTAGCCTGTGTGCGATGAATTCGTCGTTTAGCACGGAGGTGTTGTTCGCGATTTCGACAAGATCGATGGCGATGGTGGGTACTTCGGCCATCATAACTCGGCGAAGCACGTTCGCGACAGACACGTCTGTATCGCGAAGCTCGAACTTCATAAACCGCTCGCGAATCTCGCGAACGTGAATCGTCGGCATTCGCTGAAGCGACCCGCCGTCGCCAGCCATAGGATCGTCGTCCATGTCGCAGTCTAACCTTGGGACGACGGACTTCAACCTAACAAGCTCTCGCGGTCTTGACCTAACCGCCTAACCGTAGCTTAATCGTTTAAGAAAACCTTTTTTGTCTCTATATACGCTGTCAACGATCCAAAGCCTCTGCGACAAGTGGTGACAAGGCGTCGCGGCAACAAGAAACGGTCGCAAATATAATAGCTTTGCGGGAACTAATATTGCTTGCTTGCGGGAACTAAGTGCGGCTGGGTGGCGGGGCTGCTGCTGGAAATCAGAAGTCGTACGCGCAACAAGGACTCGGCTCGCTACGAATAAAAAGTACTCGAAAATGCAACAAAGATGTACAATTTGCGGACCTCCGAGGAGTCTCTCTGCTCCCAGCTGCAGTGTGCACCCAATTCGCCGCTCCCAGCATCCCCCTCCCCCCCCCCCCTCTCAACCCTTTCCCCGCGCTTTTCCCCCCTCTCCCCACACCCTCTGCGTTCCCCTCGCCTATTCCTCCCCGCCAAGCCTCTCTCGCTCACCCTCTTCGCTTTTAGGGTTTTCGACCTCCCTCCCTCCTTCCTTTCCTCACTTTCTCTCCCTTCTCTCGCTCCGTCTTTCGGGCGAATTTGACAGTTATGGCAGACAGGGGCGGATTCGGGCGCGGATTCGGCGACCGCGGTGACCGCGGCGGGCGCGGCGACAGGGGCCGCGGGGACAGGGGCCGCGGGCGCGGGCGCAGACGCTCGGACGATAAGGAAGAGGCATGGGTTCCTGTGACGAAGCTAGGCCGCCTCGTAAAGGAGGGGAAGATTAAGTCCATCGAGCACATTTACCTCTTTTCGCTGCCGATTAAGGAGCATCAGATAGTCGAGGCATTTCTGCCGACTCTTAAGGATGAGGTCATGAAGATCATGCCCGTGCAGAAGCAGACGCGCGCCGGGCAGCGTACTCGTTTTAAGGCGTTCGTCGTCGTCGGCGACTGCAACGGTCACATCGGGCTCGGCGTGAAGTGCGCTAAGGAGGTCGCGACCGCCATTCGCGGCGCGCTCATCCTTGCGAAGCTCTCCGTGATCCCCGTGCGACGCGGGTACTGGGGTAACAAGATCGGCAAGCCCCACACGGTGCCTACTAAGGTCACTGGCAAGTGCGGCTCGGTCACTGTGCGCCTCGTCCCCGCGCCTCGCGGTTCCGGGATTGTGGCGGCTCGCGTGCCGAAGAAGGTGCTGCAGTTCGCGGGTATCGAGGACGTCTTTACCTCGTCCCGCGGCTCCACGAAGACGCTTGGAAACTTCGTGAAGGTGAGATAAACTGGGAATATCTGTGTCTGGACGGGGGTTATAGGGATCGTTGGCAGCGGTATAGCAGAATGCCAGGGCGACCTCGGGCAGTGGAAGGGGAAGGAAAAAAGGGGAGGAAGTCTTCTGGAAGCTTCGACTTGGGCGTGGTGGTCACTTGGACGAGGTTCAGGGTTTCGAAGTCGGTATTAGCGAGAGTTGCGGAAGTGACGATTCGCAGCGGTAGTAGGCTGTCTGAGCGAAACAAAGGCAGGTTCTCTCGTACGGTGACGGTGATGGTGACGGGAGTAGATTATAGACGCGTTTCGAGGCGCCTCTTAAGTGACGGGAGTATTTTCTTGACGCCTTCATCGAAAGGCGATGACACTGGTGGTGCCGGGCAGAAGCGATAGAAGGTTTTCTGGCTATGGGCCGTCTGGTGGAGTGCAATTTCTCGCTTCTGTAGCGGGCTCGTATTTTGCTAGGTGGGACGAGAGATAACGGTGTGATAGACGTGGCAGTCGTGGCAGAAGCAGGTGCAGACGCCCAGTACATGTAGCGTATTGCGGAGATGCAAGGTGTGGGGAATGCGAGGCCGTAGTGATTAATGAGGCGTCGTGGTTTGGCCGACTTTTGAGTTGAGACAACAGTTCGTGTGGCGCTGTGGTGGTGTTACTAGTGATGAGTGTGGCGTCGTGGTTTGGAGAGTGTGGTGTTTCTGAGGTGCTGTGGTGGTGTTTCTGTCCCTCCCAATTCCTCGCGCGTGTGGAGGAACTGCTGCTGGTGATCCGGTGCTCCTAGTGCCTGACACTTATTGAAGTGGGGATGGTGCAGGGAGCGTGCAGGAATTCCAGGAAGCCAGGGGCCATCAGGTTAATCCAGAGCGCCTGGGGCCGTCCGATTATTCTCAGAGAGCCAGGGCCATCAGATTAGTCTCAAAGAGCTAGGGGCCGTCAGATTAGTCCCAGAGAATCTGGAGCCGTTCGATTAGTCTCAGATATACAAAGGGGGCGTCAGTACTCGTTGAGAGCTAGTGGCCGTCAGATTAGTCCCAGAGAGCCTGGGGCCGTCAGATTACTTTCAAAGAGTCAGGGGCCGTCAGACTACTTCTGAAGAGCCAGGGGCCGTCCGATTAGTCCCAGTTAGCCAGGGAGAAAAAAGCGCTTATATTACGAGTCGTTCATTAGCTTTTGAGTGCGCTGGGGCCGTTAGATTAGTTACTGCTGCACGGGCTTGCTGCAATGCGGTCCCTGCAGCTCCGTGAAAAGTGCAGGGGGATGGGTGCAGGGGGATGGGTACAGTTGAGGGAGATGGGTGCAGGGGAGTGCAAGTGGCGGGTGCAGCACAATGCGAGGGAGTGGGGGTCTGTGCAGCGTGGTGGGTGCAAGACTGTGGGTTCTCCCACTTAATCACCTCTGGTCTTGTAATTACAACCCATTTCTTCTTCATCTGTCCCCAACCTCCCGCCTTCCCACCCTTCCCATCTCCTCTCTTGCCCCGTTTCACCTAACCATACACCTTCCTCACAACCAACAAGTAGCATGCTACCAAGTTGCCCATGCATCACTAGCCTCTCCGTCTCTTCAACAGGCCACCTGTGCTCAACACATACGCTAAACTTCAGGCCGGACCTCTGGCACACCACAAAGCCTTGTTGTCCCTTTCCTTACCTTCCATTCCCCTTGCCTTCCCTCTCTTTCACCACCCCAACAGGCCACGTTCGCCTGTCTGCTCAACACATACGCCTTCCTCACGCCTGACCTCTGGCACGCCACCAAGTTCACCAAGACGCCCTTCCAGGAGTTCACTGACTTCCTCGCCAAGCCGCACAAGCTCGCCCTCCCAGGAGTTCACACCCTTGGCATGTTGTTCCTGTTACTAATGCTCTGTCCTCCCCTCCCATCCCCACTTTTATCCCCTTCCCCCCCCGCCCCCTCCCCCCTCCCCCACCTCTTTCTCCTGCAGGCCACGTTCGCCTGTCTGCTCAACACATACGCCTTCCTCACGCCCGACCTCTGGCACGCCACCAAGTTCACCAAGACGCCCTTCCAGGAGTTCACTGACTTCCTCGCCAAGCCGCACAAGCTCGCCCTCCCAGTCGCTGTGCCTGATGCCTTTGCTGCCCCCCCTCCTGCCGCTGCCGCTCCGGTCCCCGCGTTTTAAACGAGTCGGCGCCGAGTAGGAATGGATGAATGGGCTTGTTTTGTGTAGATTTGAGGTTTGGATGTGCACAGTGCTGTGAAAGATTGTGCTGCGGCCTGCAATTCAAGTCAGGGAACATGATTTATTCGTGTGTAATGTGCTTGCATTTCTAGTACCCTCCACGCACACACTTGTGCCTGTAAGTTCACCAAGATGCCCTTCCTCCTTTTGACCATCCCCGACGCCGTTGCGATGCTGCCACCTGTCGCCGCGTGATTGGGTGCGGAGTGGATAGGGAAGTCAGCAGTGGGCGTTGTATGTTGTGGAGATGTTCAATCCTATGCTAGCTTGTAGTTACTGGTTCGGATGGTTCACTGCACCTGCAATTGTTTTTGAGCATTTAGAAGATAACTGTTGTAAACTTTGGCTCGCTCTTTCCTTGAACTCACTTATACCCGCCAGAAGCTGCAGTACAGTAGAGTTCAGATGGGGAGAAAGTCCACATTGAACAGAACTCCGATTTGCGACAGTCAACGATTTCCGACAAACGTGGTTTGCCTGTATGCGCATGCATCATGATATGCATCATGATTGCCCGTAGGAATGTTGGCCTAATTTTCTAGCCTTTTGCATTTTTGTAGGGCGAACGAGTTATTTGCAACAAAATAATAAAACTCGCCACTCCATTGCCGTTACTTATCTAGCGATGCTCCAAGTGGCAAAAAGGAACCAATTGTCAACGGAGTTTTCCCCTTTCAAACGCAACCCTGCTCTACAGAGAGGAGCGAACCGATGACTGCTACTATACAGTACACAGAAGGAGACAAAACTATCACGGTTACAAAGAGCACCAAGAATTTCGAATTGTGCTTTCCGTTTGTGTTTGTGGTCATTTTCGGCTGACAAAGTTCGGGCAGTACAGCACGGACATTGGCTGTGCCCGCGTTGTTGGTAGAGAAAATATCATGGTTTGTCAGTTGAGAGTCGCCGGATTGGTGGCCCAGAATTCGTTTAGTTTCCGTCCGCTAATCCCTTTTTAGAAAATCTTCAATGTGGGGGCATCATTGACAGCCATTCAAGAGCCACCTTCATTTGCGGCGGAGGGCCTCCCGCCAGGCAAAATCCACGTCATTCCATCCGTCGCACAGATTTTTATGGATCGCCTCGGCTCGCTTGTGTCGAAAAGCAAGTGCCCCTCTCCGAGCCGTGAATTTCTCTGGTTCGAGACGCATTCAGCCCCAATGCGACATTTGATTGCACCCACGTTGAATGCAGTTGAGTGGCGAGGAGAGAAGCAAGCACGTGAATGGGGCAAAATCAAGTCCTCTCTTGGGACTATTCTTG